AATGTAGTAATTGTGTGTTGAAGTGTAATTATTCCCAAGTCAGCTTTAGAGTCCTATATAAGAACATAATTTCTATGAAAAATTATATAATTAGTGAATTCAAAATTTGGTGATATTCTTATATTTTTCTAAGAATTCGTATTTAAACTTTATATTTTTTTTTCCTCTTCATTTCTCTTTCTCTATTTCTCTTCCTTTAATTTATTATTTTAAAATAAATATTTTTATTTTTTTGGTTCATCAAACTTTTCATTGGTTAAGTTAACTTTTGATATACGATATGATTCATATGATACGATACGATTCACAAACTCAACGACACGTATCGTGGGATGTATCAAAAAGGGGTTTTGTTCTGTCTTGGAGACATAGATGTCCAGCCCAATGGACTGGTATGTTGATATTGGATCTAGTGCCCTTTCCAAGGTATCTATGAAAGAGATACCCTTGAGTCAAACAGATCACTGTGCACAATGACTGAATAACGGCTTTGCCAATGGGGTGTGTGCGCACAGTGACAGCATAACATTAAGAGAGATAGTGTACCGTATCTTTATGTTTTACCTCTTATTTATAGAATTTATAGTAGAATATGGACCTTTAATGTCTCTGATAAGAGTCCAAGCTTATCTGTCATGTTGTCGTATTAGGATTAGCATTCTTGATGGATACCTTTCCATAGTTATGCTTGATTTAAATCTTTGATTGCCCCTTGTTGAGCCTATCAATCAATGGGCCCTTCATAAGGGTCCATAACATGTTTGTATCAAACGATACAATACTGTATCTTACAATGCGATATGATAGGTGTATCATATGATACCAAAGTTAAATCAAAATTTATAATTTTAATATAAAAAAGAAATAAAGATTTGATTTGCAATTTAAATTAAAAAACCCTAAAAGGATCCTTTTTGAAAGAGGATGATGGATTAGTTATGTCACTGATAAATGCTGATAGTGATAGCAGAGATAATATTAGTCTTAATGATTGATGAGTAAGAGAATAGTTGATTCACACTTTTTTTTTTGGTAAATAAAGAGGAGCTAACAGCCCCAAACACAACTCAGTTTAAATAAATTCTACGAGAATTACAAACCAAAGAAAAATCAGCCAAATACAACGGCAAAATCCCAGGGGGAGGGGAATCAAAAAAAGTAACATTATTCACCGCAGGTTGATTTAGGGGATATTTGGATAGCCAGTCCGCACAACCATTACTCTCCCTGAAGACATGTGTCAACTGAACCTCCCAATCTTTCTGTAGCCATGCTCGAATGTGAGTCACTAAACGAGACTCTCGAGTTGCTCCCCCTCTTTTGGTGAGCAAAGTGATTACTGAGCTAGCATCACTTTCTAATAAACAGCGTCTCCAACCCCCCTTCCAGGCCAGTTCAAGTCCTTTTAGGACACCCCAAAGTTCAGCAACAAAAGCAGTACACTTACCAATATGATAAGTGAAGCCTTGAATCCATCTACCAGTCTCATCCCTTATGATTCCACCACAAGCAGCTTCTCCACCATTAGACTTGGCTGCTCCGTCTGTGTTAATTTTAACCCAATTAGTTTCCGGAGGATTCCATCGCACCTGAATGCAAATCGGACTTCTCAAGATCATACCCTCATGATTCTGATTCCAGGAAAAAGAAATATCATTAACAACCTGACAGATAGTATGGCTTTTATAGGCTAACCAGTTAACAGCTTCACCATGAACCAATGCATTTCTCCATCTCCAAGCATAATCAACCATAACAGCAAATGTAATTGGCCAAGTATCATTAATCTGCAGCAAACCATTGGGCTTTAAATTCATCCAAAGCCAGCTCACTAAATCTGCACCAAAAAACACGTTATGATAAGCAGGATCAAGTAAGTCCAACCAAACACCTTTGATCTTATTACAATCCCTAGCCATATGTAGAATAGATTTGTTGGAAGTATTCAAGTATGAGTTGTAATGAAGTACCACATTGGCTAGACCTAGACCAAGTGATACTATATAAGTGCAAAAAGACCCATAAACCTACAGCCTTAAGGTTTTGGGTTAAAATGTGGTGTCGGCCCACTTATTGTGGTTTATCACTTGGCCCATGGATGTATCCCTTGCAATGGGTTTTGGGCTCCCCCATACCATTCCCAACAGTGGTATCAGAGCCAAAGGTTTGGCTGGGCTGGGTATTTAGAGATGGTGATGTTTCAAGGCCTCCGCAGAAGGCTAGTGTGACCCTAATATTTGAAGAGAAAAAAGACTTCCGCAGAAGTTGACCTTAGAGTAAGAATGATATTGGGCCTTACACTTGAGGGAGGATGTTGGAAATAATCAAGTGTGAGTGAGTAGTGGTGAAGTAAGTTCCACATAGTCTAGACATAGACCAAGTGATGACCATATAAGTGCAAAAGACCCATAAACCTACAGCCTTAAGGTTTTGGGTTGAGATGTGGTGTCGGCCCACTTATTATGGTTTGTCATTTGGCCCATTGGTGGATGTACCCTTTGCAAAGGGTTTTGGGCTCCCTCGTTTCATTCCCAACAGTGGTATCAGAGCCAAAGGTTTGGCTGGGCTGGGTATTTAGAGATGGTGATGTTTCAAGGCCTCCGCAGAAGGCTAGTGTGACTCCAATAGTTAAAGAACAAAGACTTCCGCAGAAGTTGCCCTTAAGGGGGAGCATGATGTTGGGTCTCATACTTGAGGGGAAGATGTTGGAAGTATTCAAGTATGAGTTGTAATGAAGTACCACATTGGCTAGACCTAGACCAAGTGATACTATATAAGTGCAAAAAGACCCATAAACCTACAGCCTTAAGGTTTTGGGTTAAAATGTGGTGTCGGCCCACTTATTGTGGTTTATCACTTGGCCCATGGATGTATCCCTTGCAATGGGTTTTGGGCTCCCCCATACCATTCCCAACAAGATTCCTCCTCTTGCTGACAAATGAGGCAGCTCGAATTTGACAGACCCAGCCGAGCTAGCATACCCCTAGTAGGCGTCCGATTGTGAGCCAACTTCCAATGAAGAACACAGAGTCTATTAGGAATTTTTAGTCTCCAAATAACAGACCAGATGCCATTATCATTAACATCATCAGCATTCGGGTTGCTAAGGGTACTATACAAATTTTTTACAGTAACCCCTTGTGCTCCTTTAATATCTCATTTGAGAGAATCAGGCCCATCTTCATCTTGAGGGGGTAACATACTCCTAATATCCTGAAGAATATTATTAGGAAGTAGATTGGAGACGGTTTCCCAATTCCACATTCCCTCATCTGTCACAAATTCGTTAACCTTCCTGCCCATCTCTTCTCGTGTAAGGGTCACCAAAGCCTCCCCTACAAGATTATAGTTATGTTCAAGCCACCTGTCATTCCAAAACTCAATTGATTTACCATCTCCTATTTCCCAAATAAGCCTCGGTTTCAATTTAAGCCACACCTCACACATAGCTTTCCAAAGATGAGAATGACCAGACTTACAACAAAAAGCTTTAGGAGAATCATGTGCATTACTATATTTGGCTTTCAAAACTTTAACCCAAAGCATGTAGAAAATTCCAAACAATCTTTCTCAAGAAAAGCTTCATTCATTATATTAAGTTTCCTAATCCCTAGCCCTCCTTGATCTTTCGGCTTGGATAAAACATCTCAGCTAATGAGGTGCATACGTTTCCTATCCACTGAGTCTCCCCAAATGAAGGACCTTTGCAACTTTTCCAACTCATTACAAATACTTCTAGGAATCAAGGTATATTGCATATGATAGTAAGGCAAAGTAGATAAAACAAATTGAGATAGCACAATTCCGCCTGCTTGAGAAAGCGTTTTAGATTGCCAACTATTCAATCTCTCCTTAGCTCTGTCTATTACTCCAGCAAATGAACTTTTAGAAACCCTCCCTTGCTGAATCAAAGCTCCTAGATACCTGCCAATGTTAGCTAATTTTTTAAAACCACTAACTTCAACAATTTTATCAACAATGTGGTCAGCAATGTTGATTCGCACTTTAATTACTTATGTATTTTGTTTATTGGATTTTTTTTGAAATTTGGATTTATATGATATTAATTATATTATATATTTTTAATTTATTTTTTATTATATTTTTACTTTTTACGATTCGATACGATTTACGATACACGATAAAAAAAACCGACCAAACGATACACAATACGTGTTGCCGATTCAACAACCTTGGTTAAAACAACTTCTTAAAATCATGATAAACTTAAAATTAAATCAAATGAAGTTAGCAAAACAAATCTTGAATTAATTGTTGTTTTGAAATTAAAAAAAGATCAAATTTGAATTCTAATAGAATATTTTGTAATACAATAATAATTGTTCATACCCAAGCTTTTATTAAAAGGATTGAGGATAATAACACCATACTTTAAGTTAAATGAAGTAAAACTAGCAAATAAAATCTCGAATTAATTGCAACTTTTTAAGAAGGGAATGATATGAAATTTGAATTCTGAACATCTTTTTTAAATTTCTTATTTTAAATTTCATTTATAGATAAATAAATAATTTAAATATACCAAATCTTAAATATAAAATATGAGACAAAAAAACTTAATAATTCACTTTAAAGATATTTTTTTTTTCTTGAAATATATTCCTAATGCAAATACTTAATTTAATTATTTTCCTTCAAATTCTAATTTTAGGGGGAAAAAAATTAGAAAACAGGAATAATAGTAAATATAAATCCAAATCTTTTACCCCATATGATGCAAAAACTCAAAATTTGGTAAACTTGGTTACCATATAAAAACCCACACTTACCAAATCTATGTCTTTAACTACCTCGCTGACTCTGTTCTTTTGTCTCTCTGTCTTTTTCCTTTATCCTCGCCATTCTTTTGGACAACATTTTCTCTTTCATTTTTTTTTTTTTTCTCAATTTATTCAAAAGAGTTCCACCGGATCACACCCAATACAAAAAAAAAAAAAAAAAAAAAAAAACTACTAAAAAGGAAATTAATTAATAAATATTCATAACTTTCTCTCTCGTTTTCCGGGAAAATATAATAACGACAAATTTTCCCGGGAGCGAGAGAGGTGGGGACGGGATTTGGTGCTTTGAATTTCTGGGATTTTTTTTTTGATTCTATCGAATTTCAAATGAACTGTATCGTCTCTATGATTTATTATCATTTAATTGCGCCTCGCATGGTGATTAAGATTCATCTATCGCGTTGATGCAGTTTCTGCTTCTTCTTCTGTTCCAACTTTGGCTATAAAGAACCGAGACCCCTTTTGTGGAAACATAAAAAAAAAATCAAAACTTGTTTTTGAATCTGAATTGGGTACCAAAATAGTGCCCCTGTTTTGATCATGATTAGTTATTGTCTCTGAAGAAAGAGAAACAGAGACAAAGAGAGAGAAGCATGGAGGAAGAGTTTGCGAAGATGGAGGTCGAAGACCAATTTGAGGATAATGAGATTAATCTTAATTACGAGTTTGATGCTCCTCGGTTCTGCGATTTCACCCGGCCCGAGACCTTTTTTGATGCTGCTGAAGCAGAACAGTGGTTCGAATTCACCGCGAGTTATCCACCTTCACGTATGAATCTAAGGGAAAATCAAACCTCTGTCTGATGCTTTTGTTTCGTGAATGATGATGTTTTGTTGTGTTTGAAAATGGGGTTGATTTTTTTTTTTTTTTTTTTTAATGATAATCACGGATACATAGTCATCAACTCATTTAATTGTTGATTTCTGGCATTGCAATTGAATGTTCCAGAAAAGAAAAAAGTTCAGGTTTTGATTTTTAAATTATTTTATTATTTTTTTTTTTTTTTTATGTTTTGTGTGTAGCATTTCTCGTGAGGTTGAGATTGAGATGGGGAAACGCTGATGAAATGAAAAGTGAGAATATGGTTGCTGATGATTCTGGTCCTTGCATGGAGCCTGAACAAGATTCATCAATTGAGGACAATAATAACACAGGTACAATTTTCACTTCATGGGGTCTGCATTGCTGTTAAATTGATGGCACAACATTTTGCAGCTTTTGCTGCTAATACTTGCTGTTAAATTGATTTTATTGAACGTTGCTCAAAATTATTATCTTAAGTTTTTGTGTTACAAAACGCAAGAAGATATTTGCTTGTTTATATTTTGTTTAACACCAATCACGTTTCAGTTATTAGTAATTTTTGTTGGTTGATGTTTTGTTATTAATCATCCTTTTGATGGTAGCGTGTTTATGATTGCTCAATTCACCAAATTTCCCTGCAAGCATGAAATTTGGGCCACCATGGACATTCTTGAAATTGCCATATGTTTTTCTATACTTTAAATCTGGACTTTAATTTTCTATGTTCATTGAAATTTTATTGATTGAATATATATATATATATATATATATATATATATATATATATATATATATATATATATATATTATATTTTTTCCTGTACTTTTCATTTGGGTTCATTTGTTATGGACCCTAATTAGTTTGGGAATATGGTGTTGATGTTGATTGAAATTTTATTGATCTTTAAGCAGCTTTTTGTGTGAATCAAGCATATTGAATTCTCTTTCATTTTCTATATAAATTGTCATTTAGTTTTGTAACTGAATAAAGATTTGTTTTCAGGACTTGAACATTGTGATCAAACAAGACAAGATACATTAAATGGTGAGAAAGAGCCTCTCAGGAAGTCAAGTCCATCCAAATCTAAAGTTTTGAGTTTTATGAAACCAACAGCAAGTCATTTGGCCAAGCAGAAGAACACTCCAGAAGCCCAAACCCATCAACTTTTCACAAGGTGCCAGTTATATCTCACCTCCTGATTTTGCTTGGTGGTGGACAATTTTATATTTTTTGTCTCATTAAATATTTGCTAAGTTTTTTTTATTTATTTATTTGAATCTTAGGAAGCACTTTTCTTCAATGGTATTTTATCTTATGACTAATATAATCGGACACAATTTTCTATGTTTATGTCTTTTCCTTTGTGACAATGTTTTTATCTGTTTCACTTTTTGATCTTTGATTCTGAACATGTGCTTTTTCTTATTATCTTCCTCCTTTCTTTTCCTTTAATCTTCATTTCTTGTATCATTCTTAAACTAAGCAGGTTTCAGAGACAGAATTCTTCTTCCACAGATAGACAATTAACCAAAAGGCAGAAGCTTGAAACTGGTTACTCGCGTAAGGTGAGCTGTAATTTATATATACAAACCTTTCATTCTAACAGTTTTGAAATCTTAACCTTATTTACCAACTACCATGAGTTCAAGTAGCAATGAGCTCGTTTCCCTTCATTAGAGGTCTCGAGTTCGAGTCCTGGCAACAGAGAAAATGATCCTAGAAGACCTGCCTCCAAATTTATTTTTCATCTCTCTCTTGAAACTGAAATATGTGTTCTAAATTTATATTTTATTTTTTTAAAAAGTTTATTGTTAGTACTCAATTCAGTTGGTGGGAATTTTTGGTATTCATGACAGATTGCTCGTTTGAAGCATCAAATTCTTTTTACACATAAGAAACATAAGGGGGTAAGTCAGGTAACCAGTTTTTCATGAAGTATAATCCATTTTTTGTTTGATATGGATCTTCAGTTTTGTTTATCATGCATGAGGAAAGTTGGTGCAGTAACCAAGACAATCTATGTCTAATTTTGAATTGTGATGCAGGTTGATCTTACTGATGCCAACTTAGCATCTAAACCAAAAGTTACTATTCCTAAAGAACCTAATCTGGAAACAGCACTCAGGGCACAAAGACGCAAGTATATCAACTACTACTCAGTTTATAATAGCCATGTCTTAAACCTTTTCAGTGAAATATTGTATCCTACATATGGTGATGTTGTGACTTTTTAATAGGTCTAGAACTAACGCTGAATCTGGTGGACATACAAAATTGAGTTCTGAGGCGCTTAGATCACGGTCCTTAAATAAAAAAGTAAGCACTTTCACTTTGCGCTTCTGGAAGAAATTAATATGTACTTAAATCTTAAAGCATGTGAAAGTGTAGTTTTTTATAATCACAAAGCATATGAAAACACCACTAACAGAATTTCAAATAACTAGTACTTTCTTAGTCATATTGTATCTTTTCTGATGCATTTTTGTAATGGAATGTATTGAAAACTCAATACAATGAAGATGGTTTACAGTTTCTTATTTTTTTGACATACACTTTCAAGGTATTCCACTTGAAAACATCAGAGAGGGCAATGCAACACACCTCTAGTAATGTTAGTTACATAATAAATATGCATTAGTTGTTGTATCTTTGGAACTATTTGCTTTTGTTTCTCTATCACTTAAGTAAGATGATTTAGTTTTGTACCCTCAAGCAATCATATTCCCCTTACTCATAGGGTGATATTCACAATGTTTCCATTGGCAGAAGCTAATGACTTTTACACTGCAGGCTGGAGGTATTTTGAACTGCAATTCAATCTCAAACAGTGAAACAAAGGATCTCAAAAGGTATAAACATCTAGATTTTGCATTGATATTATAAAATGTCTGATTTTCTTAAAATTTTAGCGTTATGATTACAGAAATGACATGCGGGTCATTCATGCATGCATCTTTTGAGAGCATATTAATGAGCAATTGTAATTTTTCTCTTATTTGGTTCTATTCCTCTCACAGGACAAACTCAACGTCTAGTGTTGGCTCAAGGCAGGAGAAATATAGAATGGTTAACAAACTCCAAGGTAACCCTGATGATAAGGTAAGTAATCATTGATGTTCTAGGCTTCTTAGCAGGATAGGTGTAATTTTTCTTTCTGTTTCATTCTTGTTAAAAGAAAAAAGCAATTGGTTATATGTGTTCTTGTTGTGCTTGAATCAGCAATTCTCTGGTAAAGGGGAAAGAGGTGTCTTCCGAAGTATCAAAGTATTTCCGATGGTAACACATGTTTGTTTTTAAAAATTTATCATGTTTGTATATGGTTTTCATTGTAATTTCCTTTGTTTTTTGATTTCTATATAGGAACCATATGACAAGAGAGTTTTAAATGAACCACCTACAGAATTATTTAGCAAGGTACTAACTAAATGTTCATTTTTTCTTAATGATCTGTCTGAATTTATCAAGTATATAGTTCAATGTTTGCATTGATACACAATGAGTTTCTCCGCTTTTTTTCTATTAAAACTTTTGGATCTTGTGTCCTATTTTGCAGCTCTCCATGGCTTCTGAAGTCAAACAAACTAAAAAATCACTATCAAAGGAGCAACCAATTTCCAAGGTTCATCTCTCTGATGAGCATTAGGAGTTAGGACAAACTAAGATTCCTTTTAGTATATACTTTATCCCTTCTTATGCATGGTTATTCCTATTATTCTATTGCAGGGCTTGAAGGAGAATATACCTGGATCCTTGCGTAAGGAGCATGAGGTATATCAGTAGTTTTGAATACACAATCATTAAGGTTTTTGTTGTCCATCAAACACATTTATTGATGTTTGAGCTTGTAAAATTTCAGACTGTAATAGATTATACCTGGTCATTTCTCACTTTGAGTCTTAATGTAAATTTTACTCATAAGTCTCGGTTTTGTCTCAACATTTAACTTCTAGATGATGAACTTAGTCCAAGAAGAAATTCAAAGACGATGTAGGAAGCAGTATCAATGTGTGAGTAAAATGAGTCCCTCATATCAAAGAGGACCTGCATGCTGGCAAGTAGAACATAATTTGCTTCAGAATTTGCTTTTATTGACACTGTTAGAAACTTTATGTAAATTACACAAAACTTTTTTGTTTTTGAAACAGGAACTTGGACGTTAGCTGAAAATACGGTGGTGGTTCTCCTGATTGGTGCTTTTTATACATTTGCTTAAAATTCAACATAAAATTCCCCTCTGTAATGGGAAGTTCAACTGAGTTTATATTGGAAACCATTCCAAAGGGGCCTTATTTAACAAAGGATTCTTGCTACAAGATTATTTAGGGAGGAAGTTCCAAAATGGAACCTAACACCTGCATTATACAACAATGCATTAGACTTATTGAAATTCCTTTCTGTCATTTTCCTTTCATGTTAAGTCTATGTATAAAGAAACTTACAAGATGTAATGTGGTACGGTTTGAGGCATAAGAATATTACACTTGTATAATGTTGCTGGTTTACCTCTATAGTTACTACGGTTTGTAACTTCACACCATTAGAGGCTTTTGCACCATTGGATACCGGTGACATTAATAGGGATGTTGTTACACGCACAGTGATTAAGGTAACCTGCTAGTGGTAAATGTTCTCTCCTTTTACATTTCTTTGGCAAGCTTCCAACAATAGGCCTTTTGCTCACCCTCTTATTCAATACAATCACTCTTCATATTCTACCTCTAATAATTTCTTTTATATTTTTAAGGTTTTTAAAATTAAATTCTACTATTTTAAAATAAAAATTCCAAAATTAATGCAATTATACCAAAGGAGGATGAGTTGCTCTTTCTTTCTGACACAGTAAGATCATGAGTTCGAGATTGGAAAATAATTTTTTTGTAAAAATATTAGAGTAAGGTGTGCAATTGACTCTAATCCGTACCCTTATACCCTTTAAGTGGAGGAGCCTTATGCATCAAAGTTTGCCAATTTTTTAAAAGTAATTAGAGGTGTAAATTGGTTAGGCCGGTCTACAGGGATCTACGGCCTAGCCTATATTAAGACAGACTTAGCCTATTACAAATAGTCAAATAGAATAAGCCTAGATTTTTACAAAAATCTATTTAAAAAGCAGACAATAGACTTTTTTGTACATGTCGGGCCTATAAGCCTACAGACATGCCTATATGATATTATTTACTTTAAATAAAATTATTATCTTAATAATTTTAAATAATAAAGTAATATTATTTTAGTTATTTTTTTAATTATTGAATATTTAGTAGTTTAAACAGGCTAACAGGCTTGGGGCAAGACTTTTATTTTTTATATATAGGTCAGAGCAGACTTCTAATTTGAGCCTACACATGCTAATAGATCGGGCCAGACCCAAGATTTTTTACACAGGTCTGACCTATTTAAGCCAAAGCCTAGCCTATTTACACCCTTAAATACAATTATACCAAAGATTTAAGTAGAATTACTATATAAAGTTTTAGGAAAAAATATTTCTCCCGTCACCGGATATAAAGTTATATGTAGTGAGCTCAAAATAAATGTTGTTTTAGGATCATAAGATTAAAAAATTATAATGATAAAAATTAATATAACCCTGCAATATATTAGAATTATAAAAATACATTGATTTCCGCCTCAAGATTTTTTACACAGGTATGACCTATTTAAGCCAAAGCCTAGCCTATTTACACCCTTAAATACAATTATACCAAAGATTTAAGTAGAATTACTATATAAAGTTTTAGGGAAAAATATTTCTCCCGTCACCGGATATAAAGTTATATGTAGTGAGCTCAAAATAAATGTTGTTTTGGGATCATAAGATTAAAAAATTATAATGATAAAAATTAATATAATCCTGCAATATATTAAAATTATAAAAATACATTGATTTCCGCCTCAAAACGATGTCATTTTGAGCTCACTGGAGATAACTTATCTCCGTTGGAGCTTTACCCAAAGTTTTATTCTCACTCTTCGAGTAATTTATTTCAAACATAAAAACTTCTATTTCAAGTGAAAAACTTTAATGATTAGAATGAATTATCTTGGCTTTTCTTAAAATTTGATAACGCCACAACATTCTAATTGCTAAGTTTGAATGAGGTGGATAATTCTTATATCGATCTAAGTTGATCCTTTTACAGGAATGTTTATTTCGAGTTTTTACCAAACAAGTACTCTCTTGTATTTTTATTTTTCAGTCACAGCACACTAGTTTTCAAAATAAATTCTCAGACATCTTTGTGCATAAAAAAAATGTATGGAACACGATCGGTTGCAATAGAGATGGGGTTTGGTTAAGAATATCTTGGATAAAGTAGAGGAATTAGGAGACAACTACAATGAGAAAAATGACAACGTTTTGCTTATAATAGCATCACAATTTTTGTTGGTGAATTCCTACAAATAGGAGGACAAATAGATGATAACTAGGACATTTCTATTTATACTCTGAAGACCGTTAAGCTTTATTAAGTTATTATTGGGATTTAGTTAAGTTTTTTTTTTTCTAAATATTCTTAAATATTAAGAATTAATTGTATTTAGGAAAGTGATAAGATCATATTTTAGCTCATTCATTTCCATTTAAGTATGTTCTTTTCTCATGACATCAGCATCACTGGTGCAAAATTACCAAAAATACTATTTTATTAATCTCGTAACTCTCTAATTTCCCTTGTGTTGAAATTAAGGACCAGTTTAATTGTGTTTTAGTTTTTTTTTTCTTAAAACTGTTTTGTAGAATAATTATGAAAATAGTTGTTTTTTATGTTTTTTTTGTTTTGAAAGTTAAAAACCAAAACAGAAAACAAAAATAACTCAGACATGTTCTCTAAATTTGATTCTAAAAACAAAAAAATAGTTACAGTTTTTAAAACGAGTTTTTTTGTTCTGAAAACTAAAAACTGTTTTTAAAAACAGTAATCAAACAGAGCCTAAGTTGCTATTGTTGCGTGCGAATATTAATGCATGTGTACATTAGCAACAAGTAATATATAAGTTATGAGTCCTGATATCATTTCCACAGAGATGATTTATAAAGTATGAATTTAAGTAAAAGGAAATTATTGTTTTTATGTTTGATTTTATAAAGTAAAAGGTAAGTAAACTAAATCTAACTAATTAAATTAATAAAACAGCAAGCTAAACTCAAGGATTAAAAGTATGGATGTGAAATATAGGTTAATTTTCCCAATACTGCAATTATGTAACAATGTTATAGCAGAGATCTATTAATTTCTAATTAGTAACCGAACACACGATTTTATGTAGGATTCTCGTCAATCTTACATGTATAACCAAACACTTAACCCTCATATCTTAAGCTAGATTTAACTATTGAATTCATTGAAGAACAAGTTCAATAGCTATATGGTGTGAATGATCTCTCTACCCATAACTTAATTAAGTTTCTTTAACTTAATTAATCTACACTAATTAATCAAGTATGTATCTCTCGAAATACATACATGAATAAAATTAAACAAATTCATAAGTAAATAATTAAAGATTAATAAAAAGAAAGTTTAGGCATCCATTACAACATCATAACATAGGTATTCTATCACCAAAGCTAAGAAATATTTAGCTGATGATAGAAAGAAAGAATCGATAGAAACAGAAGAAGAAACAAGAGGACATTGTTGTATCAATACTCTAGTTCTAACTCTGTGCACAACCTCTGCTAGGGATGTGCGTGGGTCAGGTCGGGTCAGGTTTTTGTCCGACTCGACCCAACTTGGTTTTTACAGGTCAGGTATTTTGACCCGACCCGCTTTAATTTGATCCAAGTCAGGTCTGACTTGGTTTGAATTTTGTTGAACTAGTTCAGAACTGGATCGGATCTGACCTGACTTGGTTTCTGAAGTGGGTCAAATCTGACCTGACCCGTTTTTGACTTGGTTTCTTCACAAAATTTCGACGATATTTCTACATTGCAAATGACGAGAATTTCGTCAAAAAAATTATTTTTTCGTCGGAATATTTTTTGTCGAAAAGCAACGAAATTTTTTCTCTAATGAAAATTTTACAAAAATAAATTTTCTATCGAAATTTAGTTTCCGTCAAAAGTTTTGACGAAAATGATTTCTTCCATCAAATGTTTTAAACGAAAAAAAAATTCTATCAAAAATTTTGACAGAATATTTTGCGTTCAAAATTTCGATAGGAATGTGTTCTGACGAAAATTGTTTCGAGAAAAATGTTTCATTCGAAACTTTCGATGAAATTTAGATTCTCTAAAGAATTTTAACAGAATATTTTTTCCGTCAAAATTTTTTATTACAGGAATGTGTTCCATAGAAATTTTTGATGGAAATATTTTTTATCAAAAAACTTGACGAAAATATTTAGTTGAAAATTTTCGATGGAAATGTGTTCCGCTAAAAATTTCGACGAAATTTTTTTTTTGTCAAAAAGTTTAACGAAAATTTTTCCGTCGAAAACTTTCGCCGAAATTTGAAATCTGTAAATAATTTTGATGAAATTTTTTTTCGTCAAATTTTTTTGATAGAAATGTGTTTCGTCCAAATTTTCGATGGAAACTGTTTTGAGGGAAATGTTTCATTCGAAACTTTCGACGAAATTTAGATTCTCTAAAGAATTTTTACAGAATATTTTTTCCTTCAAAATTTTTATCGAAATATTTTTTGTCAAAAATTTTTACGAAATTTTTTTACAAAAATGTGTTCCGTTGAAAATTTTGATGGAAATATTTTTTATCAAAAACTTGACAAAATATTTAGTCAAAAATTTTCGATAGAAATGTGTTACGCTAAAAATTTTGGAAAATTTTTTTTTTGTCAAAAAGTTTAATGAAAATGTTTCCGTCGAAAACTTTCGCCGAAATTCGAGATCTGTAAAGAATTTTGATGAAATTTTTTTCCGTCAAAAAATTTCGATGGAAATGTGTTTCGTCGAAATTTTTATGAATATATTTTTTGTGAAATATTTTGACGAAATTTTTATGACAGCTTATTCACCAAATCATATGGGAGAAATGAAGAGGGGCAATGGGATCCCGGTGGAGGTTACATAGCCTCATGCATTAGCTGGCCATTACATTTCAAACAATGGGATCCCGGAAAATGAACATCACCTTGAGGACAAGATGATTGTTAGGGGGGAGTATTGATACGAGCCTATCATAGTCAGCAAACGGTTTAGAAGGGTGCATAGAAGAAAGAGAAGCAGGGGAATATTACATAATGCTGAGTCAGCAAAAGTTGTTAGGAGTAAGTCACATTGGATGGCATGGGGTCACGTTGGGTGAGTTGGTTCTATTTAGATGAGGGGTTGAGCATTCTCAAGGGGTATCTGGAATCTGAATATGGAATGGGCCCTTGTTTGGGATTTGGGAGAGAGTGAGACCTCTAAAATTGTCTCACAATATCCATAGTATCTTTACATTGTTATTTCCAGTTTTTCGTTAATTCTAATAGCTTTAATTTCTGCAAAAAAAGTCTCAGTAATTTGTATTGTTCAGTGTTTGTGTTTGCTTTTAATCAATATATGAAAAAAGGACTGAAGTTATTCATGTCAACAAACATCTTTTCTTGCTTTACTTCTGAAT